TATGACAGTCTAGTCTAGACGACGGAATATGCGATAACGCGTGGCGTTTGGAGAGTTACAAACATACATACATACAAGTGAAACTAATATAAGCGTGTTAATAATAAAAGAATGGCCTAGCTCTGTTATTCCAATGGGTCACTACAAACTTGCAAGCTGTTGGGTAGAGTGTGGCACTCGTGTATAACCGGTTCGAACGTGTTCATGCTACGTCCAGTCGTCGTTACTTCCTTAGCGAGCGACACAACCTTTTTAACACGCTTATATTAGTTTCACTTGTATGTATGTATGTATGTATGTATGTTTGTAACTCTCAAAACGCCACGCGTTATCGCATATTCCGTCATCTAGACTAATCTGTTATACGCATTCACCCCTCCCCACGCCTCGCTCAATACACGACGGCACACTATTCCTATAAAAATTTATTTTTAGTTATCGTACCCGTACACGCGTGCTTGTCATCAATATTATATATATATAAACAAATTTTTATTTTGACTGACCAANTGAGGTATAGCCGTGTTTTGTGGGCAGGCGGGTCGGACTAACGTTATACCTGAGGTATAAACGGCAGTAGGAATATACAGGGTGTTCAGTAAGTCAGGAAACGGGTTTCTATTGTTCTCATTGTTACAAACAATGAGAACAATAGAAACCCGTTTCCTGACTTACTGAACACCCTGTATATTCCTACTGCCGTTTATACCTCAGGTATAACGTTAGTCCGACCCGCCTGCCCACAAAACACGGCTATACCTCATGCATGATACGTTTACATACTTAAGTCCCTTTACATGTGTATATGTATTCTAATTACTATTAAAAATATTTATTAACACACTTTATTCTTATTTAGAGATATAGAACTCATTCATTCCGATTACAAAGGATGAATCCAGTATCGTCATTTTTCGTCACTACCTCCATGTTCCGGGAGTGGGTAATTTACGCACCTGTTGCTTTCCTTGGATGTGGTAGCCGTTTCTCAGATACCCTCTCCGGAATCGAACCCTGATTTCCCGTTACCCGTTACAACCATGATATTGATAATAACTACTATCATAACATGAAACTAAAAAGTAAAAAATAAATATAGTTTAAAAAAACTAAAAAAACACGCTTTTAACTAAAAAATTAAAAATAATTTTTTAGTTCGATGTGCTTTAAAAGCGTGTTTTTTTAGTTTTTTTAAACTATATTTATTGTACGTAAACAGTGCACTTGTCTCGCGCTTCTACCAATCGGCAGCCGTATAATTAGTAATTGCTCGCCTTGTAGTCTTTACTGATTTTATTCAGTATTAGTTTCCGGTTAATAACTTTGCCACTGTCTCAATTTTTCTCAAGCCGACATCAGATAAGTCATTAATTTATTATCATTTTGTAATTGTATTATATCATAAGATTAATATTGTTTTCGTATGTAAGTTATCCCCTCTTTACCTTTACTTTTAAGAATTTCATTTGCAAAAAAGTAAAAATATTTTTTATTTTATATATACATAAACAGGTGTACCTATTTACTTATCCCCTTTTTATTTTCCTTTATTTTTCGTTTTGTTTGCTACAAAATAAACAACGCTACCACACAGTAACAGGCCATTCCCCTTTAATATTAAGGGGCTGCTTGTCACACTAACTATTGTACTTTTTACAAAAAATTGTTCATGTTATATCATCTTTGAATAAATGTTTTTAAGACATAAGTAACATTTTTTTTTAAATTGGCATAGGTTTCAATGTGTTGTACTCTAACCAATTGTAACTTTCAAAAAGAATACGAGGGAAAATTAGACCCAGTTTCAAAAATAAAGCCTAACTATTATGTATAAGATTGATACAATATGTATAAGATAAAGGAGACACAAAAATTTGTTCAACATTATATTAAAACCAAAAAATTAACGATCAGAAATTAATAAAAAGTTCACAATTAGAACACAATTAAAAATGTGTCCATCTGCCAATTCATAGGGTATAACTATTTAACAATTCGTATAATACAAATAATTTTTTTTATTTTAGATGCAAAATAAGCAAACTATTTTCTTTTTATTGTCCTTAATGCCAACAGGAAAAATATTAATATGAAAAATGATCAAGAAAATAAAAGTATAGTGAAGTACACAATTATGGACTTTCAACATTCATCTAGTATTTCTACAAAAAATAACTAATTTTGAACCTTCCAATACAACTTTTTATATACAACCGTATAGGCAACATTCGACTAAATCAATAGAAGAAATTAACATTTATAACAAATTATTTTGTTTCGATATAAAACAAAATATAAACTTTTTTCTGCGGTAAAAGCTATTGATGTGTGCTTCAAAACTATTCGGTTTTATTTCGGATTTGTTCAATTTAGAATAGCCTTTGGAATCTGATAAATTGTATTGTAATTTATCCAAAAATATTTTTATACTATACAACAAGATTGCGACTGTACTAGCTATTTTTTTTATCAATGTTTCGTGATAATTAGAGCACAGAATTATTTGCATTTATAATTTTTGTTCAGTTATTCCGAACACGTCATCATCATCACCCGTACAAATTTTTATTAATTGACCGACACGTATTTTTTTGTCGATGTTATAGTTTTTGGGAGATAATCTCTCTTAAAACGAAAAATATTTCTACGCTACTATTATAATCTTACGACAAAGACGCATAAACTTGAGGGACCTATAAAGTAACTTCCACTACCAAATGTATAAATGCATATGATTTAACACTCAAATAATAATAAATGTGGTCGCCTTAGTCAAAAAAACTATTTAGATTTTTAATTATGCTTCTCTAATTTAATATGTACGAAAACCTTCAAGTGAATTTTGAAAAACAAAAATTAAATTAAATAATATCAATTGAAAAGAATATTTGTTGTTAGAATTTGACAGACATTAATTTCAAACAAAATTAAGCAATAACTCACTATTATTATAATGGTGTTGCAATTCTTTTATCATAACAGGTTTCAAAAGTTCTCTTCTTTCATACATTGCTCTATTATAATCTATGTCATCTATGTTATCGTAAAATGATTTATTAATTAAATAACGATTGTATGTTATACTCGAGCTGATTAAAACTAATAAATGAATACTAATAAAATTAATCACCAGGTATGCTCTCTTCATTGGGTATATGAATTCCTGAAAAAAAAAATGTATTTTAGACTTATTATAAAACACTATTATATTGATAGTCGAGTTTCTTTTCCGTCAAAATGTGATTGCACAGCATTAAAAAATATTGGTTTTTCAAAAAAAGCATGTCGGTAGCAAGACAGTTGTTTTTACGAATTATCAATAAAAATTCCAGAATAATCCGTCCGGTTTTTGATATTTATTTGAAAATACAGTGATATGATATAATAATATCACTATATATATCTCAATAAAGAAATATTGAGTGTTATATGACGATTGTAATTTTTTTTGATACATTTCTGTTTGACATTTTGTTGAGCAAATCGCGGTCTAGTAAGTAGTCTAAGTGTGTAATGGTGTAAACGGATACAAAAAAAAACGGCAAAATAAAATGAATAGCTCGTCTACCCGCATCTATACTAAAATAACAATGTTGACGTTAACCGTTGTCAACCGATGATCACCGTTATAAAAACAAACAGAAAACGAGCAGGCCCACAGTGTATAATTACAACTCGGAAAGTGTAACTATTGCTCTGACAATGAACTCTGCAACGAGTTCCAAACCCAACCCGAACAAGCAATAAAACCACCATCTACCAATAATAATTTAATAATTTAACGATAGAAACAAAAAATACATATTACCCCAAATCTATGTACTAGAATGAGTAAAGACCATTTGCCGAAAAATCAAATGCTTAATAATATATTAAATAAATATAACAATGAACTAACTGAAATAAAACTTCAATAATTTCTTTTCTTTTTTTTTCGTAAAAATCAGAGTACTGTTATTGGAGACTTACCAAAACTATTAGTCCGATAGCATTATGTACATTTAAAAAATATATATAATTTATAATAAATTATTATCATAGTTATATTGTAATTGAATAATAATTAAACGTATATCCATTTTTTTATTCCAATTTAAAAGTAATTGCGATGTCCATTAATTTTTAAGATTATTATTTTTAACGTGAATAAATGAAAATCACCTGTTGCATTGAATAGATTTTTTTGAAACCAGTGTTTTTCTACGGCAATTCTCAAAAAATTTTCAACGAAATCTAATAAAAATAAATAAATAAATAAAACGCTTTGATGCAAATTGATTAATTTCCATTAGAAAATATTTTTTATATAAAAAAAAAACCCAGCACAGAGGGGTCGCGGCACAATGGGGATGTGACATAGTTGGGTCAAGTATAGTTGATATCTGACAGTGATTAAAATCACTATCATAAAAAACGCTTCGATACAAATTTGTAGATATTGTTTAATTTTAAAAATTTGATGGATTATTCTAAAAGCTACATGATCTCCTATTTCCTTAATTATATCCTGATTACAAGTTTTATGATTTAAAAGTGTAATATATAAATAAATAAATATCTATATATACATATATAAATATATAAAAGGAAATGGAGTTATTTAAAAAAGTATTTCCAACGGGGAACGAGGGAAATTTTTTCAATTTTTGAGGGTACGATTTGTGATCTTTTGACGTATCGTTGAAAGAAATTGGTTCAGTGAGAGCTGAGAAAAAGTGGTAACAGACACAAAAAAATAAAAATAAAATAAATAAATAAATAAAAAAAAACATCATAGTAAAATTAATACCTTCTCAGCTTCGCATCGAAGCTAAAATGTAAACCTAAATAAAACTGTTATAGCGTAATTTTTCGTCTTAAGAAAATATCATGAAACTTGATTTGTTTACATGTAAATAAAGTAAAAATAACACATCGTATCATAATTTATTTATTATCTTACCTGTTTCGTACATCTGAGAAAACTCTGTTGAAAAATAACAAATAGATATTATACTGATAAATATATTAATTCTATTTTAATAATAAAATCGATTTTCTTTTTCATATGAGATTACGATAAAGTGAGGGGAAGACGGAGGAAATTATTTTGGGTTATCAAAACGTGAACACGGTAAATTTTAGTTACGTAAATTTAATCCCAACATAATTACCGGAAACGACACGTGATCTGCTAAAGTTCTTGAAAATTTCAAATTAAAACCGTTGTCTCTTAGAATTTACATTTTTTTTTTTTTTAATGAATCTGATTACGATGTTAAGACATATCCATGTTAACATCGTATTCGATGTTAACCTACAGTTATCGGTCTTACCTTTAGGAAAAAGAGTTAAGTAATTACTACCTGAAAAAAATATATTTAATAATTATAGCTCCATAAAATAATATATTTAATCGATAATAGTCGGGCGCGATTTGACGACATTGCAATGGTGTCAGTTCTTTTACACTCACAAGGGGAGGTCACGGTGATGGGGTCACCGATTTTTATAAAATTTATATAGATCTAATCTATATTGAATACAGAATCAGACGTATTTGGAATTTTTTGCCAATGCCCCCCCTAAGTCGAGAAAATTGACTTTGAAAATTTTTAATTAGCTTAAATGGGGTCATTTTTCTTCCGGTTAACAACTCGTGTTATGGTCCAGTGGACTATACGTGATCCCACAACACATACACGCTCGGGATCGACGAGTCGTCTCAGCGACTGAAGAAATTTTTTGCTTTTTTTTTCACTGTTTTCTCTTTAAATTATTAATTTTACGGAATATTTGTTAAATTTTTTATAGTAATAATAAAATATATTTTTATATTAACCGAGTAAGAGTATATAAATTATAAAGGAAAGAGATTTTTGAAAGGTTTAACGTTCAGTGCTAGGTTTTGCGTGTAGTTCATATTTTATGAAGGAGTAAAGTTAATCATTTTTTTTTTTCATTAAATAAAATTTATTCATTTGAATTGAATTATATTTATTGATTAATATTTACGTGTATTTAAAACTCTTACATTATTATTTTTTAATTACTATTTAATAATCAAAATTAATAATAATAAAAAATATAATTATAAATTATTATTTATTCAATTGACTATGACTTTTGTCATATAACAAACATACATTTTTTTGAAAATTACAATAGGTTAAATTAAAATATATAATGATTTTATATATGTTTAAATCCTCATAATCATCTCTTTATACATATACTCTTACCTGGTTAATAGTAAAAGTTATATTTATGTGTATAAAAGTTTAGTTTACTTTAATCATAGTTTTACCATTGGACAATCGATAATTTGTACCATCAAAATGTGCTTTGAATGCAAATAAAACTATATAGATAAATAAAATGTATACAAAAATTTAACAAATATTCCGTAAAATTAATAATTTAAAGAGAAAACAGTGAAAAAAAAAGCAAAAAATTTCATCAGTCGCTGAGACTCGATCCCGAGCCTGTATGTGTTGTGGGATTACGTAAAGTCCACTGGACCATAACACGAGTTGTTAACCGGAAGAAAAATGACCCCATTTAAGCTAATTAAAAATTTTCAAAGTCAATTTTCTCGACTTAGGGGGGGCATTGGCAAAAAATTCCAAATACGTCTGATTCTGTATTCAATATAGATTAGATCTATATAAATTTTATGAAAATCGGTGACCCCATCACCGTGACCTCCCCTTGTTAGTGTCGACATTACTCTTAAAAACTTGTCGCGCTATTTCTCTAAAAACTGCTATTTAGAAATAAAAGATAATTATACAGCTCTATAATAACACTTCATATTATTAATAGCTACACGAAAAATAAATAAATAACAGTAAAAATAAACACTGTACAGAGTTATTGTTTAACTGTGATTTGCACAAATCTTTAAAAGTGTACAAGATAATTTTTGGTCCTATTTTCCTTTAGTTTCTCCTTAAATTGTATCAAATATTTGGTTTTTAGAGGAAGCCGATACGTTTAATTAGATTACAAACAACAAAATGATCTAACTAAAAATAATGATAGAACGATTTTCGAACCGATATTTTGGAAGTTTTTAATATACTCTAAAATAAAGACCGGATGTGAAGCGGAACGTTATTTATTTTTATGATCCGCACTGTTTCTCCGAGCTAGAGAGTTTTGATTTTTTTTTACGATTATTTTATGTAATCATTTATTATTTAAAGGATAGATGTAAAAACAAGCTTATTGCGTTATTCACCGGCGACCGTACGCGCATTTCTATTCCATGAAAATTATTAACACTTGATTAAGCATCTGTAATTGACATGAAAAAACAATTAGTAATAAAATTAAGTTTATTAAAAGAATATATATATAAAAACGTTATATAAAACATGTTGAGTTTTTAATTAAATAGGTTCATGTTTTATAAATTTAAACGTGAACAATAGTGAACAAGTGCAATTATTATCGTATCTCCTAACAAGGAATACTTTATAATAATATGATATTTTAGAGGTTATTGTGATCTGATATTTCTCTTGATTGAATGATTTACGATACAGGCGCGGACTGGCCCACCGGGATACCGGGAAAATCCCGGTGGGCCCCCCAAAAATTATGGTATATGGACCCCTTGATACTACGGCAAATCAGTTAGTAAAAGCCAACTGCCTAATTTTAATAATTTTTTTTTTTACAAAAATCCTCAATTTCCTTCCTGACAAGTAAAAAAAAACCCCAGCACAGGGGGGTTGAGGTACAGTGGTGACGTGGCGTAGTTGGATCAAGTATAATGATATCTGACAGTGATTAAAATCACTATCATAAAAAACGCTTCGATGCAAATCTTTAGATAGTGTTTAATTTTAAAAAAATTGGTGGATTATTCCAAAAGCTACATGATATGCTAGTTCCTTATTAATATCCTGATTAAGATAAAGTATGTCGAATGAAAAAGGGTTTATTAAAAAATATTATTTCTCATAAAAAAATTGTGTGGATCCATACACTTTTGAATAAGTTATAGCATTATAAAGTTAAATATAATATAAAAAATAAAATCGAGAATTTTCACACGAAAATAGCATTCGGTAGCCATTTTAGCCATGAAAACAAGTCCAGAGGTCAAATTTTTTTTTTTTAAATTAAAGTATATTACATTAGCATTAATTTATAATATTTATAAAAGTGTCAGACCTTCCGGAACATTTTCAAAAGTTAAGTTGAAAAAGTTGTCATTTTAAATCCCCCCCTGTGGGCAGATAAAGGGTCAAATAATAAAGAAATATATCAAATGATAGGTAAAAACATCAAGCATCTATAAAAAAAAAAATTATATTGATATGTTCATTTTTGAAAAAGTTACGGCACATTTTAGTAAAAAAAATTGAAAAAATTTCGAAAATTAGGGATTTTTAAATTTGTAATTTTTTTGGAGGTTTCCCCCATTTACGGGGAACGAGGGAATTTTTTTGAATTTTTGAGAGTAATGTCTTCGACTACATACGATTTATGATCTTTTGACGTATCATTGAAAGAAATCGTTTCGGTGAGAAAAAGTGGTAACAGACACAAAAAAAAAAACACATCTTAGTAAAACCAATACCTTCTCAGCTTCGCATCAAAGCTAATATAAAAAAGAATTTTTTTACAAAAATCGTATTTTTTTTATTAACTTTGATGTCTGTTTTCACTATGAAAATAAAATAAAGTCCGAAATTTTTTTTTACCACAATAAAGTATATTACATTAGCTTTAATTTAAGATATATATAAAAGTGTCAGACTTTCCGGAACACTTTCAAAAGTTTAGATGGAAAAGTTCTACTTTCTATATGCATTTTTTAGATTTAAATCCCCCTCGTATATAGGGAAATGGTCCGATTTAAAAAAACAATATGTCGAATGAAAGATGTATATAAATACTACTTCTCATGAAAAAATTGTATTGATCCATACATTTTTCAAAAAGTTATAGCATAATAAAGTTGAAAATGGAAAATACAAAATCGAAAATTTTCACACAAAAATAGCATTTGGTAGCCATTTTCACCGTGAAGATAAGATAAAGTCCGAAATTTTTTTTTTCATAATAAAGTATATTACAGTAGCTTTAATTTAAGATATATATAAAAGTGTCAGACTTTCCGGAACACTTTCAAAATTTAATTTAAAAAAATTAGTTTTTTGTGAAAAAGTTGTCATTTTAAATCCCCCCCTGTGGGCAGCTAAAGGGTCAAATTTACAAAAAAAATATACCAAATGAAAGGTAATGATATCATGCATCTATATAAAAAAAAATTTCGAAAATTAGCGATTTTTAAATTTGTAATTTTTTTGGAGGTTTCCCCCATTTACGGGGAACAAGGGAATTTTTGTCAATTTTTGAGGGTAGTATCTTCGACTAGATACGATTTGTGATCTTTTCACGTATCATTGAAAGAAATCGGTTCGGTGAGAGCTGAGAAAAAGTGGTAACAGACACAAAAAAAAAACACATCTTAGTAAACTTCAAATGTTTCAACTCATGATCAATGTGTAATTGTTTTGCGATATTTGAAAGAGAATGTCGAAAATGAAAAATCTTTAGTAGAAGTTAAGGAAAGAGTTATAGCTTTAAAAAAAGTGATTTCCTCTTATCCTCTTATCCTCTCTTTTTATTATATATATTTATTCCTTTTATTTATAAGGCTTATTTGATTTGTTAAAATCAACTTTAATTTCTAAAAATATTAGATTAGATAAATGTATTGCAGACGTCTTTGATGGAGCCGCTAATATGAATGGAGAGTACAATGGAGTCCAGGCAAAACTTAAAGAACTGCTTCCAAGGCACATTCATACATGGTGCTATGCTCACGTATTGAATCTTGTACTGCAACAAACTACTTCGAGTACGGTTGTAGTAATCTCTTTTTTCGGTCTTCTGCAAGAATTATTTGTTTTTTTTAAAGAATCTTATAAAAGGCTCAATGTTTATGAATGTCAAAGTAATTCTGGCCGTCAATCACATTTGATAAATATAGGTGTAACTAGATGGAGGTCTAAAAATGATGCCCTCGTAAAAATATTTGGTCGTATTAATATGTGGACAAATGAAGGCGAAAATGAAGAAAGAAAAAAACTGACCTATGTGTCAATTGTTTTATCACTTTATGAAATATCTTTTTCTAATAGTTTTGCTGGTGTAAGAAGTACAGCGCGAAGTTTACTAAATCGACTCGCGAGTTATGAAACAACATTAACAGCTATGATGTTTCTACAAATATTTAAGTTCACTACTGCTCTGTCTGATTATTTACAAACATCTAGTCTTGATTATATAGAGGCCTGGCGAAAAATTGAAGTAACTATAAAGTCATTAAAAGAAAATCAAAGAGAATTTTCATCGATAAGTGCAGCTGCAAAAGAATTTTCAATATTTACATCCGAAGTTATATGGAAACACGAAACAGAAATTGATATTGAGTTAGAATTACCTCAAAAAAGAAGAATAAACATTCCACGACGTTTTGAAGATAACCCCAACATTGACCCGGAAATTTGAGCTTCTCCAGAAAAGATTTATGAAATAAAAACTTTTAGTGTCGTTATGGTTACTACTATTGCTTGTTTAGAGAATAGATTTTCTGGTAGTAATGAGTTGTATGGTGATTTTGAACTATTTGACTCAAGGCGATTTATAAATATCAGACAAAATGGAATACATTCAAATGGCTTAAACAAGATTTGTGAACTAATACCACATATTGATAAGCATGCATTAAAAGAACAATTACTGTCATTTGCCGAATTCTGGCCTAAAATTTCAAAAACAAATATTAATGACGTAGACGATATATATAATCAAACAGTATAAGATGAATCGGACTTTGAAGATTACATTCAAAATGAAAACATCGAAGAAAAATGTACAAATATAAGAAAATGTAACTCGTGTTTATTGTGCGTGACGAACATAATTTATGAGTTTAATATGTATTCTTTGGAATATAAAGAACTCTTCGACGTATACACATTTTTGTTGACTATTCCTTTAACTCAAACAACCTGTGAGAGATCATTCTCCAAACTGAAATTGATTAAGACGCGATTGAGAAGCACATTAACTCAACCAAATTTAGAGTCAATATTCATCATGAATTGCGAACGTGAATTAGTAGATGAAATAACTAATGACGAAATAATAGATTCCATGTGTGAGAAAAGTTTAGAAATGTTTAGATTATTAAAAATTTAACTGAATATATTTGTTAATTTTGTAGTTTTACATTCAGATTCACATTTTCAAAAACTACATATTATTTTACAATACGTTGCTGAATATTTTGTAAACTTAACTTCTATATTAGTTTAAAGTATTTAAAATAATTTCACTATTGTTCAATTTAACTAATTTATTAAGATTAAATCAGCCATTAAGTTAAAAGTTTGTTTATAGCATTTATTGCGCAAAGGGAGACATTAATACGTATAACTTAAAAAATATATATTATTTTAAATTAAAATTTATGGTAAAGGTTTTAAACAAAAATAAAGAATTTTATTAATACTGATGTTAGACTATTTAATCAAAATATTGCCTAAAAAATACACTACTTAAGTAACCATTTTTGGCCTAAATTTTATTAAAGACCTTTTTTTTTTTGCTCAACCAGCACAAAAAAGCGGTCGGGCTCCCAGGAGCTTTGCCGCGGCCGTGGAAAGTGCCTATGGGCCCCTTTAACTTGGTTTCCCGGTAAGAAAATTGATCCCAGTCCGCGCCTGTTACGATATAACAAAAAACAATTAAGTAATGGAATACGATTTTATAATATATAATACATAATACCAACAGTAACAACGTCATAATAGTAGTAGTAGTACCGTGTCTCATGTCCAATATTTTTTGATAGGCATCATGGTTACCATCCAGAGAATCTATAAAATAACAAAAAAAATTTAAGTACGTTCTACTTTTAATCACGTGGTTACAATCGTGAAATAAATGGCATCGTACTCGTTTGTTCTCGTTTATTCATCCTGTTTGAGGAGTCATGACAAACGTTAAGACTACGCGTTTCGAGACGCAATATAATAGTAAACTTTCCCCCCCCCCCCCA